TCAGTCACTAAGCCATGTGCAAATGAGGGGAAAGGAAGGTGGGGGTTAACAGGGAAGGAACTGCACCAGCTGTCTCCAAAGGAACATTAATTAAGGGGGCTGAGCTTGATCATTTGCCTAGCAAGTAAATATTCTCCAAAGAGCCCAAACACTCACCCAGCAGCCTTTTTTTCCAGTTGCCCTATGGACTGGCTCAGGGAAGCAACGAGGAAGGAATGGCTTCCATTTACATAGCATGTCAAGGTTTACAGACAGCTTTGCAAATATTGTCTCATCTGATCCTCACAATGAGCCTGTGCTATTGTTAGCCCCATTTTACAGATGAGGAAACTAAGGCAGGCAGAGGTCAAATGACTTGCCCCAGGTCACATAGCTAGTAAGTGTCTGAGGCTGGATTTGAACTCATCTTCCTGACTCCATCATTCTAACCACTGAACCGCCTGCCTTATTGGCTTTAGGTCTCCTGCCTGAGCCCTTTCCTACCTGAGGAGCTGAGGAAGAACAAAGTTCAGGGAAGGAAGGTTCTATTTCAACAGAGCCTACACTGCTGGATTTAGGTAAAACTTTCCCAGTTCTAAATTTAACCTGGGGCATAGAATTGACAGCTCTGAGTTTCTATAAAAGTTCAGTCTTAAAGGCCTCTCAAGAATTACTCTTTAGCTAATTTCCTCATCCAGGGTATAACCTGGGAACATCAGAATTTTGGTTAGTTTTTGCTCCAAAACAGGGTTTCCTTGGGAGATCTTTCAATTGAATAAAATATACATAAAGAACCTACTATGTGGAAGACATTGGGAATACCAACCCCAAAACTAAGCACTCTTTGATCTCAAGGACCTTCTTGTACCCTCTTCTGAGGGGAGGGAGGGTAAATACATGTAAACAAGTAATAATTAACTATATGTTAAGTAATTTCAAGAAGGAAAGAACGAAGGGCTCCTAGGTAGCACAGTGGCCATAGTGCTGGTCCTGGAGTCAGGAAGATTTGTCTTCCTGAGTTCATATCTAACCTCAGACATATACTAACTCTGTGACTCTGAGCAAGTCATTTAACCACTCTATTTGCCTCAGTTTCCTCATCTGTAAAATGAGCTGGAGAAGGAAATGGCAAACCACTCTGGTATCTTTGCCAAGAAAACCCCAAATGGGGTCATGAAGAGTCTAACATGACTGAAACTACTGAAGAAAAAAAAAGTGTCAAGAAGGAAAGAACACTAATAATTCATCAGGAAAGACCCAAGGTAGGAGTTAACACTTAAGCTATGTTTCGAAGCAAGCTAGGGATTATATAAAGCAGACATTTTAGATGGAGGTCAGAGGGGGACCACTATCAGAATGTAGTTTATGTCTAGGTCTCTACAGAGTAAAAGAATTTTCAGCTCCCATGCAAGCACTCAGGCTAACAATACAACAAGTAAAGGATAGTAAATAGCATAGGATAGTAAAATAGTAAAATTGCCCATTATTTAACTGGGCAAAAAACTTTCTATGAGAAAGGACTCATACCCAAGCCCATTAACAGTCAAAACAATTCTCCTTCCCTCTCTAGTAAGCTTCTACCATCCAAAGAAAGAAACAAGTATTAAGTAGCTACTTGGTACTAGGCATGTGTCCAAATCATACAACCAGTATATGTCCAAGGCTCAGCTTGAAACCTAGTTCTTCTTGACTCAGAGCCCAGCTCTCTTCTTACTAGGCCTCTCTTCTCACTACATTTTGTGAATATTATCTCACCAGGTCCTCACAACAATCCTGGGAGTAGGTGCTATAAGGAAACTGATAGAAGACAGAGGTTAAGTAACTTGCTCAGGGTCACACAGCAAGTAAGTATCTGAGGCTGGATTTGAACTCAGGTCTTCCTTACTCCAGCATTCTATCCACCGAGCTACCTACCTGCTTTTGGGTTCCTATATAGTCACCTGCAGACTTACAGTACTAGACTGACTAAGGTTCCCTCACCCAATAAGAGAAAGTACTCAGGGTTGCTAGAATCAAAAAACCCCTTCAAGGGAGGCCCACCTTCACAGAGACTTTCTACCCTGATTGAGGCCCAAACTCAAATCCCTTCCCTTTCATCTACACCAGAATCAAAGAATTTGGGACTTTGGGAATCACAGCAGACACCCAGTCCAACCCATACATGCACAAATACACATACACACACACACACACACACACACACACACATACATACACATGCCCAATACACCAAAAATAAGTTGTCCAGCCTCTTCTTGAAGACCACCAAGAGAGGAGAACTTACTCCCTGTCATGGCAGGTTATTCTACTTTTGGATATTCCTAATTAAGTTGTTGTTTTATTTTTCCCCCCAATATCAAGACTAAACTGGCATCTTTGCAGCTTCTACCCATTACTCCAGTTTGGCCCTCAGAGAGCCAAAAAGAACAAAACTAATCCCTGCTCCATATGATAGCCCTTCAAACACTTGAAGGCAGCTTTCATATTTCCCTTGAGTCTCCTATTTGCCAGACTTAACATGCTCAGTTCCTGTAACTGATCTGCTCATAACATGGGCTCAAGGACTTTCCCCAACCTCGTTGCCCTCCTCTGAACACTCTCCAGCTGTGTAATGACCTTCTTAAAATGTGGAGTTCAGAACTGAACACAATACTCCAGGTGAATTCTGACTAAGGCAGAGAACAGTGGGGCTATTCCTGGAAGTAACACTCCTCTTAATATAGCCCAATATGAATTAGCTTTTATTCACTGCCATGTCACACACACACACACACACAAACAAAAAAACACCAGACCTTTCTCAGAACAACTGCTGAATTCCTCACCATTTGATACTTGTAAAACTGATTTTTTGTACCCAAGTGTAAGACTTTACATTTATCTCTATCGAATTTCATCTTAGTGGATTTCATCCAATGAACTGGCCTGTTGAGAGCCTTTTGGATCCTGACTGTAATCCACTGTATTAGCTGTCTCTTCCAGCTTTGTGTCATTTTCAGATCTGATGAGTTTATCACCTATTCCTTTATCTAAGTCATTGACAAAAATATTAAACAATATAGAGTCAAGCACAAATCCCTGGGGTACTCCACTAGAGACCATTAACAACTTCTCTTTGAGTCCAGCCTTCCAAATGGTTCTTGTTTACCTGAATGCATTATCATATAATTCATACCTCTCCATTTGCTCCACAAGAATGGTACTTCATCAAAAGCTTTGTTAAAATCTAGGCAAAGTAGCCCTAGTGCTATCCTTATGTGCTAATGAGATCTGTCACCAGTCAAGTTCTTCTGCATGATGGAGCTGATCTTCACTGCCCTTTATCTCTGGCTCCAGCTTGGTCCAGGAACTCCTTCCTCATCTTCCCTGCAGGAGCCCTGATCCAAAAGTTCCTCCTCTTTCTCATTGCCCTCTGTCTCTCCTACCTCCCCTCCACAGCTGCCTGGCTCAAATTCCTAGAGGTTCCCAGCTTGGCCCAGTAGCTCTGAGATGCTCCTCTCCTGCTCCTTCTATCTGTTGCCTGCCATCTCTAGGGCCATCTGGTTCTCTCCTCTCCTGGGGCTACATGGTTATTGGATACATGTGTTTCCCTGGAGGGACTACAGAGCCATGGAGACTTCTTCAGAGAATTGGCTTCTCTGTAGCTGCCATAGCCCTGAGTTCTTCCATCAGTTTTTCTGTTCTCTTTTGGAAAGCCCAAGTCCAGGAATCAAGCACAAGTGTATGACTGGCCACAGCAATCAATCTTCTCAAAAGTGATTGGTTGATTTTAGAAAAACATGGAAAGGTTTGCATGAAATAATGCAGTGAAATGAGCAAAACCAAGAGAACATTGTATATAGTAACAGCAATATTGTCTGAAGAATAACTGTGAACAACCCAGCTATTTTGAGTATTATAAATATTCAAATCAACTATAAAGGATCTATGAAGGAAGAGATGCTATCCACCTCCAGAGAAAGAACTGATAAATAAAAGGATGTATAGTATGGTTTTACATTTGTGTATAAGCGTGTGTGTGTGTGTGTGTGTGTGAGAGAGAGAGAGAGAGAGACAGAGAGAGAGAGAGAGACAGAGAGAGAGAGAGATGGTGGCCTTCTGTAATGCAGGACAGAGAGGAAGGGAGATAGTTCAGAATTTAAAATGTAACCAAAAAATTAAATTAAGTTCATTTCTGCCAGGGCAGCTAGGTGATGCAGTGGATAGAGCACTGGCCCTCGATTCAGGAGGACCTGAGTTCAAATCAGACACATAACACTTACTAGCTGTGTGACCCCGGGCAACTCAGAGACTAACTTAACCCCATTGCCTAGCCAAAAAAAAAAAAAGTGATATTGCCAGCAGGATGGTATATAAGATTAGGGTTCAAATCTTAGTTCTGCCACTTCTTCCCTATGGAGTGATTTAGCCCCTCTGGAACTCAGTTTCCTCAGCCATAAAATAATAATGATCTCTACCTGATCTCTAAGGTCCCTTCCAGCTCTTAACTGATGATCCTATGTTTATACCTTGTACAGGAAGACATTTTCCAGGTCAGAACAAAGCCTCGTCCTTTAACCTTGTTAACCTTGATCAGGCCCCTCCTTGGCACACTCTCTCCATATTTTTCCACCTATAAAATGGGGATTAATAATAGTATCTACCTGAGAATCAAATGACATAATGTAAGCAAAGTGATTTACAAACCTTAATATCCTACACAGCAGCTATCATTATTGTGACTTATATTACAAGGGTTGGGAGACATTGGAAAGAAAGCACTATCCCAAGAGGTCCTAGAATGTTCTTCTCTGGAAATTCACTTATTAAACACCTACTCTGTACAAAGCACTGTGGTAATCACTGAAAATACAAAGACAAAAAATACACTATCCCTGCCCTCAGAGAGCTTACAGGCTCCTGGGAAGAATATACATTGTCCACAAGGAAGTGTTACAGTTCAAGGTAGAATATGATAGGGCAAAGAAAGTGAAAAGACAAAATGCTTTTGGAAAATCTGAGGAAAGAGAGAACACTCTTACCCAGAGAGAATCCGTGAAGGTTTCCTGGAGCAGGTGACACCTGAGCTGAGCCCTGAAGGAAGCAAAGAAGAAAAAGGAGTGGATTCCAAGCAATGAGATGAACAGGGAGGAAAGAAGGAGGACTGCACAATGGCAGTCAGCTACCTAGAAGCACTCAGGTATTATGTCAGCATCAAGATGGAAAAAAAAAATTGCACCTCAGTCCCCTTTAGCTTAATGCTCAGCACCCTCCTGTGGATGGTACAGTATAAAGGGGATGTGGTAAAAACAGAAGCCCACACAGTGACCCCCCTCCTCACAATCTGAACAGGCCACCTGCTTGTTTACGGACACGAGCTTAAGTATGCTCTCACTGAAAGTGAGGCGTTCTTTGTGACTGCCAAGAAAAGGCTTCAGTCACCCCTACTGGGTCAGATGCCATTTTCATCAAGCAAATGTTCAAATTCAAGAAATGCCCTTTCTTGACATATCATCCTTTCTCCCTGGACAAAGGGTTCTTGACTTGGAAAGGAGAGATATGCTATGAAAGGAGGAAATCTATTTTGTCACTGACCTAGCACTTCATCTAGAATACAGCCAATTATTCTTCCAGGCTTTAACCAACTCCACCTGACATAGCAGGGGCTGTGATGGGGCAGAAAGAGAGAAAGAGAAAAGGATGTAAGATTGGAGGAGAGGGGAAGGCGGCTGTCAAGAGAGGCTGACATTTTGATTATAAGTGAATAACATGGAAATTAGAAGTAAAAACAAAGTAGCAGATTAGCATGGATTATTTTTATTCATCCTTTCAACATACACTTTGTTTTTGGATCATAACCCTGCCCACAATGAATAAATAAATGATAGAGTTGATTTAGGAAAGAGGCAATGAATTTGAGCCTTGGGTTCTAGATCAACACTCTTGATCTTTTTTTATGCCATGGGCCTCTTTGGTATTAATTGGGTGTAGTCTGTAGACCTCTTCTCAGAATGTAGTTAAATACATAAAAATAAAATGCATAGGATTACAAAAGAAAATAATTATATTGAGATACAGTTATCAAAATTAAAAAAAAAGCAAGTTCACAGACCCCAGGTTAATAAGCCTTGTTCTAGAGTGTACTGAGACCCCTTGTACCACAGAGGAAAAGAAATGAATGAAAAAAGGAGGGGGGAGGAATGGGGGGGAGGAGAAGAAAGGACAAAACTAACAAAAACCAGGCAAGAAGTCGGAAGGTTGGAACACTGAGATTCCACCCTCCTGGGAATGAGCCCTGAGTCCCTGGGAAAGAGATGGAGATGAAAGGGAGGCGCAGCTGGGGGAAAACAGGCCATGAGAACAGAGCCCCGATTGTTCCCTAGGACAGGCTCTGCAATCCACCAGGAGAACCCAGCCGGCAGTGCGGCTTTTGTGTTTTAATGTAATTAAGGGCCCAGTGAGGGGCAAACTGTTTGGAATCCTTTAACTCCATGTTGTTAGGACTGAGCATTACAGCAGAGAAGCTCCGAGCTTTAACTTAGGCCTGTGAAGGGGGTTTGGGAGCAGCTTATCCTGCCCTAAAAGGTAGAGGGAACTGGCAAGAAAGAATGCCCTCCTTCTGAGGGAGGTTGATGGGAAAGGGAAACACCCCTTCTCCCCAAGGAAGCATTTCCCTGATGCCCTGCCAGGTGCCCTGTGACCTTCTATAACACTCCTGCTAACTGTCAAGGAGAAGGGTTTCTGAGGCAGCAGGGATGTGGAGCAAGAGAGCCATAGTTAATTAGGGAGGGAAAAATGCTGCTCCCTCATTCCTCCTCAGCCTCCCATTCTCCCTTTCTCCCTCCCTCCCTCCCTCCTCATAGCCCTCTAGGTTTGTGCTCCCATGTTCAGTAGCGCTACAGTGTCCCTCACTTCCTCGCCCCTTAAGCCAAAAGCAACAAGGAAGCATGGAGAATTATAATTAACAAGTGCAACTCGGACTCCCGAGGGCCACTGAATGTTCCCCCACCAGCAGCCAAAGGCTCTTCAGGGGGTCTGTTCTTAGCCATTCAAAAGGAATTAGTCTGATGAGCACCTGCAATTCTAAAGCCATACACCTCTTCCTGTAATATAGGAGTCTAAAATCAGAGGGATGTCCAACCCCCTCTCAATGTTAGATGAGAACATGGAGGTCCAGAAGAAAATCGACTTGCTTAAGGTGACATGGATAGTAACTGGAAAGGGGTGTTGCAGTGAGGAATGGAGAAGATAGGTGGTCCAAGTTTTGCCAGGACAGAAGGGAGCAACAGCAGTCTCAGTCCTTGGCACCATGCCACTGTGGAGATCAGCCTGACCTGTTTTTGCTTTTGAGAGGGTGGCCAGCCCTGTTCTCTCTCCCTGGGAGGAAGATTCAATGTGGGTCAATACCTAAAGCCCTGGGCAAGGGTTTCTTGCAGCTATTTGATAAGGTAATATTGCATCCCTTTTTGTCCACCTTAAAGGCATTTTGCTTTAAATACTGTCCAAGATTTTCATTCAGATCTTCGTTCTCTCAGTCTAGAATCATTCCCCACTCCTCCTTTGTTCTAGCACAGGGGGGACTTAAAATTCTTTTGTTCCTTTGGCAGTCTGAAGAAGGTTATGATCCCTTCTCAGAATGATTATTTTAAATGCATGAAATAAAACACATAGTATTACAAAGGAAAACAATTCTATTGAAATAAATATAGTGATCAAAATATATTTTAAAAACAAGTTCATGGATGCCAAGTTAAGAACACCTGTTCTAGTCTTTAAGGAAGAAGTGCACCTTGTCCTTGCCAAGACCAACCCATCTACTTATGCCCTTAATCCGCCTCCCCCTGCCAAGCTTGCCCTTCCAACCATAAACTGCCCCTAAAGTTGCTCCTTTAATCATAAACTGATTCCTCTAATCTTTAAGGTGACTAGGCAGCATAATGGATAGAGTTATGGGCTTAGAATCAAGACAACCTGAGTTGATATTCTCCCTCTGACAGTGCCTCGATATGTGATGATGGGCAAATCACTTTCCCTCTCCAAGCCTCAGTTTCTTCATCTGTGAAATGGGAATGATAACAATAGTACCAGCTGTGTACCCCAGTTTCTTCATTTATAAAATGGAGATCATAACAGCACCTACCTCACAGGTTGTTGTGAGGATCAAATGAAATAAACATATCTCATAAAGCACTTTGCAAACCTCAAAGCTCTCTATAAATGCAGCTACTCCCTTACAGGGATGTTGGGAAGATCAAATGAGATAATATGTGTAAAGAACTCAATCCTCAGGGCAGCCAGATGGCACAGTAGGTAGAGTACCGGCCCTGGAGTCAGAAGGACCTGAGTTCAAATCCAGCCTCAGACACTTGACACTCACTAGCTGTGTGACTCTGGACAAGTCATTTAACCTCATTGCCTAGCCAAATAAAAAAAAGAACTGAATCCTAAAGCTCTATGTAAATCCTAGCAAATATTGTTTAATTTCAGTTTATCTGCTGGCTTTTCCCCTTCTACCTATAAACATGTCCAGATCTTCCACATCTTTAAAAAAAAAACACCACCCTTTTACTTGACCGTACTGTCCCCTCAGACTATCATCTTATATCTCTCCTCCCTTTCTTTCATAACCACTTTTACTTAAGGAAAAAAACAAAATCTCTATCATCCAGAGAAAGAACTGATGGAGCCTGAATGTAGATCAAAGCATACTATTTTCACTTTGTTTTTTCATGGTTTTTTTTTCTTATGGTCTGTATCTTCTTTCACAACATGACTAACACGGAAATATGTTTTACATGATTGCACATACATAACCTATATCAAATTGCTTACTGTCTTGGGGGGGGAGTGAGGGAAAGTGGGAAAAAATTTGGAACTCAAAATGAATGTTTAAAAATGTCTTTACATGTAATTGGAAAAAATAAAATATTAAAAAACAAAGTTCAACAAGATTATAAAAGTCTGTATCTGTTGCTTCCTGATCAGCTTCTGATTCCACCATCCAAATGAAATTGTATTCTCTAAGGTCATGAACAACCTGTTAATTACTAAATCCAAATGGCCTAGTCTTAAAAGTCCTTCTGACCTCTCTTCAATATTTGGCACAGAAAGTTGCCCCTCCTTTTAGATCCTCTCTGTTCCCTGTGTTTTAATGACGCTGATCTCTCCTGGTTTCCTTACATGACCACTGCTTCTTAGTCTTCTTAGCTGGATTATCGTCTCTGTCCTGCCCCTATGCCTCAGCATACTGCAAGAGTACTGTTTTGGGGCTCTCTCAGTGATCTCATCAGCTCCCACAAGTTCAATGATCACTTCTATGCAGATGATTCCCACATCCACATATTTAGCCCTCATCTCTCTCCAGAGCTCCAGTCCTGTGTTACAATTAACTGCTGAATATATCTGCTCAGATGGATATCCATAGTTATCTCAAATTCAGAACATCTAAACAAAACTCATTCTATTTTCCCTCAAATCCACTTCTCTTCTTAACTTTTCTATTTCTACCAAGAGTCTTCCTGTAACCCAGCTTCCTAAATTCAGTCATCATCCTCAACCATTCATTCCTTTTTTTTGGGGGGGGGTGAGGCAATGGGGTTAAGTGACTTGCTCAAGGTCACACAGCTAGTAAGTGTCAAGTGTCTGAGGCTGGATTTGAACTCAGGTCCTCCTGACTCCAAAGCCGGAGCTCTATCCACTGCACCACTTAGTTGCCCCAACTCTTCATTTTTGATCACGGTCCCACGTCTGATCAGTTGCCTATTTTGTTCTCTCACATCAATCCTTTCTTTTCGCTCATTCTACAACTACACTACTGCAGTCCCTCATCAACTCTTCTAGATTATTTCAATAGCCTCTTAATTGATCTCACTGCCTCAAGTCTCTCCCCATTTCCAATCTGTGTAGATACCAGATTGACATTCCTAAAACACGATCATGTCGCTCCTTTGTTTAAGAAGCTCCAGGGGCAGTTAGATGGCACAGTGAATAGAGCACCAGCCCTGAAGTCAGGAGGACCTGAGTTCAAATCTGGCCTCAGACACATAACACTTACTAGCTGTGTGACCTTGAGCAAGTCACTTAACCCCATTGCC